TCCCCCCCGGTGCTCCCCCCCAGCCCAGCACCCACCAGACGTCAGACTGCGTGTTGAAGATGCCGTCCTTGAGCGCCTCTGGGGACATCCAGCGCACGGGGAGCAGCCCCTTGCCCCCTTTCCGGTAATAATCCGTCTCGTAGATGTCCCGGGTCATGCCAAAGTCTGGCAGGGGAGGGAGAGGAGGAGGAAGGCGTGAGCAGCAGGAGACGGGGGCTGGCAGCAGCCTGTCCAACGCTGCCCACCCACCTCCAATCTTGACAGTGAAGTCCTCGGACACCATGCAGTTGCGGGCAGCCAGGTCCCGGTGCACGAACTTGTTGGCGTTGAGGTAGGCCATGCCGTCGGCGATCTCCCCCGCCATCTGGATCATGTCCTTGAGCGACGGCGGCGGCAGCCCGGGGTTGTTCTGCACCGTGCACAGACTCAGGGCTGGGGGGAGGCACACCAGGACCCCCCTGGGGGCAGGGGGGGTGTCACTTTGCCCATGGGGGCACCCGGCCAGCCCCTCACCTCGGCCTCGGGCCGGAGAGAACGCAGGTAGCTCTTCAGGTCCCCGCGTGTCATCAGCTCCATGATGACCAGAGCTGGCTGGCCCTGGGACACGACGCCGAGCAGACGGACCTGAGGGGACAAAGAGGGGTGGCATGTGAGTGGCCAGACCCCCCGTGTCCCCTCCCTCTCCCTCAGCTGCCCACCTACCACGTGGTGGCACTTGAAGGCTTTCATGACAGAGGCCTCGTTGAGGAACTCGATGCGCTCCCGCATGGTGGCCAACTCGTTGACTGTCTTCAGGGCCACCTTGGTCTCCTCTCCCTCCGTGACCAGCCCCAGTGCCAGCCCCTCATACACCATCCCAAAGGATCCCTGTCCCAGCTCCCGGATCACTGTGATCTTCTCCCGTGACACCTCCCACTCATCAGGCATGTACACTGCAGGGCGAGTGGGGATCACCCCATCCCCATCACTGTCACTATCCCCCTCTCCATCCTCATCCCATCTCCATCCCCATCTTGATCTCCATTCCCATCCTCATCTCCATCCTATCCCCACCTCCATCCCCATTCTAATCTTCATCCCATTTCTACCCCCATCCTCATCTCCATTCCCTCACCATCCTTGTCCCTCTC